TATATATATATATATATATATATATATATATATGAATTATTCTACCAATCACCCAGCATTTTTAGATGCGTAAACTTTTGAGTGTGTAACACAGCCCTAATTAATTGACCCCCTATAGATAAGTCTAGATTCCAAGTGCACACATGCCACATCATCAGAATGGATAATCCATGCAACTTTAAATTTAAACATAGGCCTAATCATTTGATTTATGAGGTTGATATTATGTGAAATGGCTTTATTGCTGTGAAACGTGATATGCTTTTATCGCTGATGTAGATAAGCTAGAGTCATAGATTTTGCATTTCAAAAGGTTTCCTGATAGCTCAGATGATCTCTCTGTCCTTATTTTGTGTAAGTGGTTTGAACACTATCATTTAAATTAAGGGTGCTCCGACTGATCGGCTACCGATCACTATCGGCCGATAATCGCTTTGGGATGTTTGATCGGCGGTCTCTAAAAAGGCCGATCTCAAAAAAACGATCTCAAGCTGATGACGCTGCTGTGAGAGGTTTGGCATGACATGCAGCGGCACCGTCTCAGTCTCTGTCCGGTGCGGGTAAAATAATTATAATGCTGAAAGTGAGGTAATCACCTTCATATTTCTTAATTAAATAACTTATAAGGTAATTTGAAAACCTTGTGTGAGAGTAATTTCACAAACAGCGTGAGTGAATCACTGCGCCCGCTCTCCCTTTCTCTCTCAAAATACGCAAATGTCTTCAAATCACCACACATCGCGTCTGTCTATAAGCGAGCTGCACGCTGCACAGTCGACACAGGAATTGTCACTTGCACTATCGAGGCAGTGTCACATCATCACTAAAGTTTATAAATTGCATTACTTTTTAATTCTTGCTAGTGTTTAACCATTCAGCGCCTGCGCGCTCTCCTGGAGAGATTGAATGGAACATAAAACAAATGATTACTTTTCGTTAAATCTTTATTAATGCCAAAAATGCTTACATTTATGTGTCTTTTTATTCGGGGAAAAGAGCCTTTTAAATAAACAAGGCAATAATAGATGGCACTCCTAGAGGTAGGAAAACAAAGTTCTTTATGAACCACAGGATTGCTTATAATAAAGATTCCAATGCAAAAGGAAAGGCAGTAGAGCTGACTATTTCTGTCAATGGTAAGTTTGTGATAACATAAGAAAAGTAGTTTACATGTTTTGCCACTTGCTTGAGCAACTTAATATATAAATCTAAAGTAAATGCAAAAGTAAAAAGCATTGAATAATGTGTTGCTTATATTTATTGTGTTTAAACATGACTGTGAAAGATTGTATTACTGTGCTGTGTAAAAAAAGAATTGCAATGCTGAAAAAACATTTTCAGTGACAATGTTTGGATTTGAAATCAAAATAATGGATAAATGTTGTGTTTGTGGTAAACAGCCACGGATCAGTAGCGGACTCCTGTGTGAAAGCACAATGAGAGTCCGTGCTGCTTC